TACGTACAGAAAATTACAAATCAAAAGTAAACATCAACTTTATTACCATAAAAATCAAAGGTTAAGGGGATGCTGGACTGACGAGCAAACTCCGACGAAAATGTTCGCACATCTACACATACATAGATACATTTATGTATACATATATACACTTATGCATACATTTCTGTACACACATGACACACATATAAACAAATTGTTGTGATACTCTTCTGATCGTAATAAGTGTCTAAGCCTAATTCTAAGAACTCAACGTTGCTTCTTCATGTAACCTTCTAGTCTAGCAATATCAATTTTGTAGGCACAAGCTGTAAAAATTTCATATAAAGCAAATATTTATACGCGACTTGACAGCTTTGAACGCCATTTTAAGGTACCAAATGATAAAAAAATCTAAATTTTAAAATTTTTTCTCGTTCTTGATACGAAATTCATATGCTAAACACGTATTAATGCATAAATTTTAATTGCGAATTTTCAGATCTATAAAGTTAATAAAAAATGAGAGCAATACAAAAATTACTGCGTTTTGTCATACAGATAAGGCCAGCATCGCCTTAAAATGAGTGATTGATAAATATGTCTCAGGAGCATTTTATACAAAATCAATTTTGACCGCTTGTAATTAAAAAATAATCATTTTTGTATCAAAAAATGTCATAAGTCATCAAAATACATTATTAAAATATCAACTGATTTAAATATCGATTGTGGTATGTTATTTGAATATAATAAAGAAAATTATATTAAATAAATAAAGACTTATACAAAAATATATAAAAAATTTAATTTAAATGTATACTTAAAAAAGAATATATAAAAATGATCAGTTACATTTAATGTAAATAATTTAAAAAACAAAAGCGATAAATTAACTAAATAAATAAACTAAAAAATAAATAAATTAACTAAAGAATATAATTTATTGTGAAGTTTTATATTACAAAATTATACTTAGAGTAAACTAAAAGTTAATAAAAGTTAATTATTTGAAAATTGATACCGTAGTACGTTTAATGAATCCGGCCATTATAATAAAATATCCTTGTAATTTATACCTTTTTAAAGTAAAGTAAGTTGTTTGAGAAAACAAACAATAAAAGATCTATGTTATTTTATATGGTATATACTTTCAACTTGATTGAATTCACCCATACTTATTTATTTCAAAATAAAATTTATACTATACGTTTATCATTTTAAATCCGCGAAATCGTATAACCTTTTCGTCTTCTTTGGAAAAAAATGGATGATGCTCTTTCTCCATTTACGTTCTTCTCGCTTTTCAAATGCATAGTCTTGTCACATTCATCAGTAATCTACAATATCATATTAGAGAGGAATCGATTTGTTTTGTTAATTTTTCAGATATCACGGTCTTTTTAATTCTTTGTCAATCTTTGAAATATCACGGTCTACCGAGAAATGTATGTATTGCTCGCTATTGTTAACGTCGTTGTTGGACTCTTTGCATGCAATTTGCATGGCAAACGTAATACGAAATGAAATTTAAATAGAATTCAAAGAGACACTCCCTCGCGATTTGAAGGAGAATAAATCAAAAGGGTGCGAGGCAGATTAATTCAACACGCGAACAATTATATATAACTGTAATATACGATTACTCAGATATATCGAAAAATACTTCACATGCTGGATCTTTGTTAAATTTATTATAATTATAATTTCAATCCAATGACCCCCTAACAAAAATGTGTATATTAATTCAAAATATTCGGATATTTTGCACAATAATTTCAGCAAAATAACAACCTGATTATAACTTGAAAATTATTAAGAATGTTCGTTGTTACAACAAATTTAACAATAAACTCTGCAACATATCTTTATACCGCGTTTTATAATAACATTTTTTTTTCAAAAAATTGATGCGTTCGATAAAAATAAATAAATAATTTGAAGAAATATTAACAGGTGTGTCAAATAATCAACGATGTACAGTAATTTTCGAAATATTTCACTATTATATTATACTAAAAAAATATCCGTCGAGTCATCTCTCAATACTTAATGAAAAAGTCGAGGAAGACCATTAGTTATCATAGTCCAACTTTCCACATTAAACATTCTAGCAAGTAGGCCTCAACTAGAATGTGTCCAAGTAAAGTCGACAGTGATTAACCCGAAAGCAAAGTTTCATTTTCTGCTTACAGCTGACAAGGGGAGCTTTCCAGCAAGAAGATAGACACTGTGTCACACAATTAAACACAATGTCTGCTTGATGGAATATCTTTTAGTTCTAGATATAGTCACCATTTGACGCTAGCTGAAGTTTGTTGAAGGTTTTGATTGCTTCATTCTCGAGCATAACCTTTAAAATATTTGCAGTATCACAGCAATAATCGAAGAAATAACTTTTCCTTCTTCTTCTTAGTCTTCTTCTTGGTCCAACTAGCCTATTCTGTAATTCTTAAAGACAATTCGGTATCATTATATTGTCGTTAGAGAATAGGCCTACAAAATGCCTTAAACAAAACTTAAATAAATGATTAATTTCAAAACAGAAAAAGACAGAATTCTTTTTCACTATTCAATGCTTACGAACATAAAAGTTTAAAATGGCAACCATGATGCAGAACACAGTCCGACTCTACTTCGTAGTTGTGTCGTAACAGAAAAGCACGTATAGCGACACTGTGTTACACTGTGTCAACTGTGTCGTTTGCTGGAAAGCTCCCAAGCTCACGAGAGAGAGAGAGAGAGAGAGAGAGAGAGAATCTTTTATCTTTAAAACGAGAAATAAACTGAACAATCGGAACTGAAATTCATCCTCGGATAGACGGATCGGTGGATCCACGACACTCAGTCGCAGTAGAAATATATTCCGCGATGGGGCTCGCGCATCAATGGTGTCATACATACGGTCAAAGTTCAACGGTCATCGACCTTCGACGTCACCTGACTTTCGTGAGCACCTCTTATTGTCGCAACAAAAAGTTCTAGACGCACAAAGCCTCGTCGAATCGATCAACTGCAATACCATGATGATGCACGGTACTGAGAGAATATTATCGCGACCGATGCATTTGTGCATCGCTTGAATAATAATTATACTCGATAATTTGTTTTCAATCGTATTTATCCTTTACGCAAGATAATCATGAATCACCGCGTTATTTTCTAAAGCCCTTTGAAAAGTATAATATTTTAAATAAACGGTGGAATTTTAGCTTGAAACTTTGAACATTTATTGTTATAATTTTCATCAATAATAAATTAATTCATTATAAGCCTTTTAATGGCATGCAAAAGGTTACGATTTAACAACCAATCACTTGAATCATGTATGCTATTAACGCACGCACGCGCACGCACGTACACGCACGCACGCACGCACACACGCACGCACAATATGTTAAATTTTTGTCTCTTATTTCCCCTTTTTTTCATCTCTTTTCTCCGAAAGTTTTTTTATATTAAGAAATTATATAAGATATTGATGAAATATGATTTAGACGATACACATTCAACAGTTCTTTTTTATTAAAAGATAAAAAAGATCAAAAATGTGAAGACTTAAAAATCGATATGCAAAATTGATCTGATAGTGTCACTTTTTAATCGGTATTTTATCTCTTCGAGTGTATTTATTCTATCAAATTTATCTGTTAATCGCATCGATAATAAACTGAAGACATTATTAAAGTTTTCCGATCGGGAATACATTGGAAGCCAATTTTAAGGTTGTATATTTAATTAAAAATACATTTAAAATTTCAAAGGTTCGCGTATTGGACTTGGATTGATTTTACATTTAGATTTAGAATTTGAAATTCCGTGATCCAACTTTGATCTTTGATCGAGATCGATTTCCGCTGCGCACGCGGGTACATTCGCGTCGCGCAAATCGAAAGTGTTACGAGATAAGTCTCGTCCTTTTCGGTAAAAGAGAAACGCGGTCACACGGAGAAGTCCTTGACCTTCTCACACAACGTTTTCTTAAACATTTCTAAGTTGAGATTTGCGTCGGATCGTCAAAAGGCACGCGAACCGCATCGATCGCGAAGAACCTCCGTAACGTGCAAGGCGAAAGCGCCACGCGCGCGGTACCGATGTTCGCAATGCATCATGTTCAAAAGATTGACTTTGTTATTATTTAAACCCCTCATTATCTCCCAATGTCACCCCCCATCACGGAAATTCGCAGTATATCTTTAAAACTGTACAGATTGCCGGCGCTGGTACAATTTTCATAAGCACGCAAAACGAAGTCAATTAAGTCGGAAACTTAAACGATTTTACTATGTATTTGTATAAATCTTACAAGATTAAAAAAAAAGAAAAAGGAAGACGGCGAGAAGAGAAATTCATTATATTTTTATTATCAAATATTTATGAAAAGGTTCTTACAACTCGTTTCTCTTCTCGAGTGCATTCTTCGGTTATTTGTTAAAAATATATCTGTATACATAAAATTGTGTCGCGTAGTTTTAAATATAGATGAAAAAGGGGAGAGGGGGCGAAAGGGTGAGAGAAGTTGCGAGCCGCTCACACGCGAGTCTCTCGCGTCGGCGCGCGAGACTCCGATTCGGTCCCTCGCGTGTCACTCTCCAAATACGCGGAAATGCGGGCGAAAGATGCAACCCGCGGCGGAGCTCCGACACTGGGTGACGCACTTTAATTAAAATCGCGAGAGGCCCAAAGGTGCCCTCAGGCGCCGACAGGGAAGCCCCGCGTTGGGACTGATTTAAGCCGATATCGCGTCACGCTCGTCGCGTGTCGCGAAACTCGTCGTTATTAATAACTCCAAAGCTGAATCGAAATAGAATCGGCGGGAGGGGGGGGGGGCGAGAGAAAGTCGGCGGTATGATAGAACGAGAGCGCCTCGGCGTACACCGCGCCGAAGGCTATCACCGGGAGTCGCATGTCCGAGCGATCGAGAACGGTCGCGAGAGGAGAGAGCGCCGACGGGATGAAACGGACGAGAGAGGAGAGAACGAAAGTAGGAAGCTGAAACGTTCTTAAGGGCACTTACTTACTTGGCGGTGGTGTGCCCTAGCTGGCAAGACGACGCGGAGTCATCGCTCTCGTTGCCGACGACGTTCGCCTCGTCCGTAGGGGGAGTGCGCCCGCGCGGCATGGCACCCGTCGTCGTCGTCGTCGTCGCCGGTGCCCTCCGGATTTGCGACAAGTCTGTACATAGAACGGTCTCCCCCGTGGCACTCACGAGAACGCGGCGCACCGTACGCCGGTCGGCATCCCGTCGATGCCGCGCGCGCGGGAACGACGCCGCGCTGATTATCGACGATTATCGACGCCTTCCGCGATTCGCGCCGCGTAACACGAGCGACGACGGACGAACCGACATGGGGACGCTCGCCGTCACCCCGTTGGAAGCGGGTCGCTGCGCCTACGTCCTACGTTCCACTCCGGATGCCGGATTACGCGAACACTGAGCGCCATCCAACCGACGCTATCCGACAACGTGCGGTCGGATGCGCGCGCGTTTTCGTACCGCTACCGCCACCTGGTGGCGATCGCCTCAACTACATGAAATTATAATCAACACTGCAGATAACTGCGTGACGCTCGAAATTATTTTTCAAAAATTGTTTTTAAAAAATTTATCATATCTTGTAAAAAATATGTCGCAGTTTTAATAAAAATTTAATTTACTAACATTTAGTGAGAAAAATATTAATTAAATATAAATGTAAATAAAATTCTTGCTTAAACATTGGTTACGTCCATTTTTATCAATTTTAGATTTTTTAATCTCAGTCCTTTTTCTTTTTTTAATTCTTAACAAGTAGAAAAAAAGATAAAAATATTTCTAATACATAACGATATAAAGAGCAAATTATAAAATTTTACAACAAATTGTTATAAACAAAAATTAAATATTAATAAATATGTAATATAGATAAATATTAATCGTAGAGGAAAACTGATTACTTCAATTAATTTTTCAGGAAAAGTTACAAAAAAAAACATATATAACTATTTTTTATATCATTTTCCGTTTATGCAAAAAAAATCATGAATGAGGCAGATTATTAAAACTCGTTTCAACTCGTGACTACTCTGTAAGATTAGCAAAAAAAAAAATCACTGAGAATCAAGTAAAGCATTACTGACATAATAAGTAGCTTAAAAGATGAATTTTGCAATTATTTTTTTTATAAAATAGAATTGTAATAAATTTTTACTATTTCTCCTGCAAATTTCAAAGTATTTTTCTCCAGTCAATATGATGTCCTTGTCACTACATAGGTATTTGGTTATTGCGTTAAATATCCCCTCAGTGTCCTCCCCTCGAATAGATGATAGATACCTGACATGAATAATTGGGAGATTTCATATTCGAACCCTAGCTGAAGGGGAATATTTTTCATAATAAGAAATTCTTGTGGGAAAAAGGAAATATATACTTGTCGATATCTTTTTTGATTATCGATTTATTAAAAAAAAAATTTAACTTCACTAGATTACAAGTTTGTTAAAAATAATAGCACATGGTTAGCAATATGAACATTGAATTTATGTACATACGTAAACTCAAAAAAGAAGAAAATACATTATTTACATAAAAACTTGTCTGCCGAGATTGTCCATTATTATTATCGATTTAAAGTTAATGTATTTTGAAAAGTAACTAATTGAAGTTAAAACTTAACTCGTTTGAAATTATATTAAGTTAAAAGTTGTTAACTTTTTAACTTTATTACTTAATTTGAAATTGATTAACTAATTATCATCCAACCTCGATTATTTTATACTTTATACCTATTTTTGTTTATTTCTCTGCGTAGTATCCGCTATAAAAGTTGTGTCTGAGGGACGCGTCTGATAATTATTAATGACTTGGTACTATCGACAGATATTTCAAGATGGCTACATGATATTTTGTACGGAATAATCAATATCTGTCTGTCATTGATGTTCGTCCGTGCGGCAAGTTGAGATAATCTCAATGAGAGAAATGCGATGTTATACGCCACGAGATACATTTGCAGTTCACTGTAAATTGTTATTGTCGGTTCGATTGTGCAATCGACATTTACTCAAAATGGCGCAAAATGGATCAATTGCCGATCTTGGTTTCAGACGATTCTTTCATGAATTGTCAAAAATAAACTACTGCAACTACTCTTCAAACATTTTTCAATTGCATAATATCGCACATTATATTTTGCGATAAAATAAACATATCTCGAAAATTATTTACAACATAAAAAAATAATCCAAAATGTTTCTAAACCCATTATACATGTATAAAATGGCACAAAATATTTCCTAAAGCTTCCTTTTATTTATAAAACTTTTAATCGTTGAAAGAAATATATAATCCAGTTGGAACCGCGCCAACAAATAATGCCGTTTTTTAAATTGGCCGATAATTTGGATTTTCATTGCGATGACAGATAAAACGTGACGCATGCATCTGTCTGTCAAAATTGAAATTTTGGAATTAATTACAGACAACTACATTAATCGAACTATTCGGCGCTCAAAATAATGTCATGTCAATACATTCGAACAGTCGAAAATGAAAATGTTAAAAATCGTTGCGACGAACGCACATATCTGTCAAAGTACATCAATCCTAGATTAACATGAAAATATTGAAATTAAAAAATTACACGTTTTTCTCAATTGTCCTTATTACTTATTTTATTAATTCTACATTAAAAGTCGCGTGTGCGTGTATTGCGTGTATTGCGTGTATTGCGTTTCATATATAATGTATTATAATATAAAAACACAGAATCGATCATTGTACGCTGTTAAATATATAAATTGTATATTGCAATATTCTTCTATGTATGTATATATAAATATATGTATATATAAATTATTATTCTCTCAGTTGCGAAAACGTGTTTTCTAAAATCTATCGAAAACATTATTTGACAAAATCTCCATATGCTTAAACGCAAGATTAAAACTTAACTGACAATATCCCGTTTGTTCGTCGATGATAAAATGTAGTAAGTATATTATCATACATTATTTAAATCCCCACTTCGTCGAGAATGTCGTCACAGCAACGTCATGACTAAGTAAATCGGTGATATTTATTATTAATGCGCATGTACAATGAGAGAATATCAGTAAACGTGACATATCTCAAAAGCAGGCACAAATCTATCGAGGTAGGCGTTCACGATTTGTTCTGCATATCGATCGCAGTAAACGGCAACAACGGTGAAATCAATTTCAGTGATTTATACGTATAAACTTTTCACACTTCAATAATTATCAAGTGTCATTGCTTTCCTTCTGAATTGTAATGTTATTACATATAATAGCATTATATATAGGATTATTAGATTAATGTGTATATAAGAACAACGATTATTTCGCAGCAAACATAGAATATAACTGCTATACATATAATATAAGAGTAACATGTGATATAACAGGCATTATATCTCAGAAATATATTAATATATTAATATATTATATATTATATATATCTCGTTTTACGTAACGTCCATATTAATCAAATATATTATATTATGTGTTATATTCCGTTATATTACGGCAATATTTGCTGTTATATGTTTGTGTTTGCTGGGATTACGTTTTTTTTTTATATATCAACAATAATGAATAAAATTGTAGATTTTCAATAAAATTCAATAGCAACTATATAAATAATTTCAATATCTCACAAATTCTGATTGTATTTACCTTTTGTTTATTTGATCACGCGCCAAACGACGAGAGTATAAATATAAAATGTTTCAAAAATTTTTTTGCTCAAGGGAAAATTCTTTTATTTTCACCTATATATAAAACTGTTTTTTTACATACCGCGATGTGAGTTATCGTAAAGTCTGGATAAGACACTTTCAAAGACACGGACGGATCGTTACTTCTTCTTCTTCGCTTCGATATCCACCTTCTTTATCTCCTTCTCATCGTCGCTTTTCTCTTTATTAATGTCGTTCTCTTCCTCCTCCAGAAGTTTAGACTCCATTTCATGCTTCTTCAGCTCCTCATCCAACAGGGCGTCCCAATCGGACATGTCTTTACCTTCGCGAACTCTTTCCAATTCTCGCTTGAGCATATCGAGGCATTCCCTCCGCTCTTTCCACTTCTCCGCCATCTCGAGACTCTTCTTTTCGTCATCGATTTGATCCAACATTTCTGCCTTTTCCTTCTCTTCGCATTCTAGCACGTATTTCTCATAACTGTCCACCTAAAGAATTCCATAAATTCGCAATAATTAGTTATCTCATGAAATTTCTTCATGTTAATTGTCTTTTTTAACACAAAAAAACGGAACATTAGATAATTTCCCACTAATTTTAATTCCGCTCTTGACATTAAAAGTATCAAATGATCATCTTTCATCTACTATTTTTTAATTAATTAATTAAAATTTTCCATTTCTAATGTTTCATTAGAATAAAGAAATAATAAAATAATAAATAATAATTAATGAAAAGTTTGAAAATTTCAGAATCGTATCTTTAATGAAAAAAAAATGTTAATTTAAAAAATAAAAATGGACAGAAATGACCACTCGATATCTTTAATATTGATAACATTTATTTATGCGCAAACATAGACTATGAAGAAAGAATTAATAATTAAAAACTTAATAATTAAAATTTAAATAAGAAATATTCGATTTTACCTTCTCTTGCAGCATTCTTTGAACGTCATTTTGCCTCTTTAAGTGTTTCGGTAGCCAGAAGCAGGCCTGGATAAGCCGCAAAAATATCCAGACCGCTCCGGCAAGCGCCAAATAGGAGCAAGCAGTAAACACCATGTTCGTCATGTCCACGGTTACTTGTTGGTGCTTCATAATGACAATTAATTTGACTTAAATACGCCTACAATAAGCACGGTAATCAGTACACAATAATTAGGAAAGTAAATTATAAAACAACTTTATTTCAATTTAATATAACATTAATAACAATTGGGGGATATAAGATTACAAAGTGAGACAAGCGATTTTATTTAACGAAAAAAAAAAAAAAAAAAAAATTAGCCCCAAGAAGATGCTTGTGCTTCGTTTGTCAAAGTGAACTGAACACATTGAAACTTTCTTACTTCTACGTATGTGTAATGAGTACAACAAATAAAAGCAATGTATAAAATCCAGTTTTTGTTTAAATTAAAAATTAAAAAAAATTGCGTATTTTCGTTTCAGAAGAAGAAAAAACTGTGTTTTGATATTTTTTGTCCTGTTAAAAGGAACTCACATAAGGACTCTTCTTTATTCGTCTCGTTAACTCGATAATTCCTATACAAAACGCGCCATCGATTTTGCGGTCAAATAACGCGTGCGACATTCCCTTTTTCTCATGCCTCATCGTTCAACCCTTAGTTTCGCATAAGTATACCATTCACGAGACAGTGCACTGCGCTGCAGTTACAGACTCGAAAACGATTACACGTGGTGATAAGTGACCTACTGCGGATCGCCCTGTGTGCTTTAAAGCGCACCACCGCGCCGGGGAGGCGGGGGAGGGGAGGGGGTTGAAATTTCGCGTATCCCACGGCGAGATTGGACGTATTTGGGTCGAGTCATTTCGACCCAAGCGTCGGCGAACGATTTCCCCGAGAACGGAAGCGAGATATTTTCGTTCCGATGCGAGAGACGACGAAAGCTGACGGGTTTCGTTAACAGCGTTAACGCAGATATGTCACGTCGCGACATCCGTGTTTGTCGTGTGCCTCCACCGCGAATGGCGGTTGTGTATCGATTACGCTCGTTCGGTGAAACGTAATGTAAATATATACGTATGTGGCACGTAGTGTGAAAAGCTTGTAATTTTTTTCACGCGTTGTACTTCGTGAGAAAAGGAATCGGAGGAACGGATTCCGTGCGAACTCTGTCGTCGGCACCTTCGCGATAGGAGGCTGCCGTTCGCACCGTTCGATTCGATTAATTTTGAGACCGTGAGAATTGCGTGCTCACAATTACAATTATTATTTCATTTGATCTTACTTTACTCACCATAATGATAACGAATTTGACGTTTAATAATTACGGTTGAATGTGTCCCGAACGCGTCGTGCTCGGAAAAATGCATATAAAGAAGAAAACTCATTAAGAAATTCTAAGTGAAAAATTTGAAATGCGTTCCTAACGAATGAAATTTAAATGTTATTGAAACGTAATAAAAAATTACAATGCTCTGTCAGAAATGTATTAATTAAGACAGCACGGCTTTAAAAAATAATATAAATCAAGTATTTCTTCAAGAATAAAATTGTAAATACAGATCGATATCGATCTGAAGAACAAACTTAAAAGAACAAACTAATATTTG